TTTCCCATGTTATCACACGTTACTAAAATATTAGTTCCCCTTATTATTAACAGCCTGCCATTTCCCAGTTTCCAAAATCTGTGCTGATCATTTGCCTGCTGCCTTGATTGACCATGCCTTTCCCTTCCATGTTATCTGACCCTGGCCTGTTTGCCGACGATGCCTCTGCCTGCCATCTGGATTGTTTCTAAACCACGTTTCTGCCTTTCACCTGCACGGACTGTGACCAGTTAATTGACCATGTTTTTTGCCTGCCGCTTGAGCTGATCATTTTCCTTGCTACTGTAGTAGTGGGATGCAAGATAACACAGGGGGTCTCACATATATGAAGAGTTTCAGAGAAGAGAAAAAAACAGTTTTTGGTATTCACCCGAGTTTTGTAATTCTCGGAGCAGGGTCTGTTAGTCCGTATGCTTTGGAGAGATTGGGTGGGAAGAAGCCTCTACCCCTGTGGCCAGGTCTTACCTGACCGAGGCCCTAAGCCTGATGTTCCTTCCTGCTGCCTGGACCAATACTATGCTGACCATATCTCTGCCTCCTACCTGTAATGACCCAGGACTTTTTATGGACCATGTTCTTACCTGCTACCTGAACCAGTACTTTGGCTGTGCTGACCATATCGCTGCCTGTAATGACCCAGGAATTTTTTTGGACTATGTTCCTGCCTGCTGCCTGGACTATTAGTTTGGTTATTGCTGACCACATCTCTGCCTGCTTCCTGGACCACTACTCTCCTCTGCAGACAACTTCTCTACTACAACCACAGGTAATTATCTGTTTACCCTTTGTTTACCTAAGCTGTGAAAAAGTCTCATGTATGTAGTATCATACTCAGGAGTAGCACAATGTATTTTGGGATGGCCATGTTGTGTTTTTTAGAAATATTTTATAAATAGACAAGCTTGTGTACAAAAAGATTTAAATTTTTTCCCACATTTTTCAAGAAATTGTGGGAAAAAAAGAAGACATGCTCAAAAGACTCATTATGCCTCATAGAATATACATTGGGGTGTTTGCTTTCCAAAATTGGGTCATCTTGGGTCTCAAGAAAAAGGATAGACCTTCAGTATATCAGGTGTGATCAATTTTCAATGATTGATACCATGGCTTGTAGACTCTAACTTTCACATAGACTAAATAATATACACGGATTTGGGTTATTTTTACCAAAAAAATGTAGCCGTAAACATTTTGGCCTAAATTTATAAAGAAAATTTACAAAAAATTTTTAATAGAAACAAACTTTTTTTTTGTTCTAATTTTCGCCCTTTTCTCTAAAAAAATAAAACCCCCAGTGGTGATTAAGTACCACCAAAAAAAAAGCCCCATCTCTGAAAAAATTATAAGTTTTGTTAAGGTACAGTGTAGCATGACTGAGAACCTGTCAAAGTATGAGAGCACTAAAAGTTGAAAATTGGTCTGGGCAGGAAGGGGGTAAAAGTGCCCTGTATTGAAGTGGTTAATGTTACTATCATATGTCCAACATCTGGTATTCAATGCAGTTGTTCCGGGTCACTGACTCCAAAAGTACTAAAGAACAGATAATGATGACTGATGGACATACACACCTTCAAAAACATTTCTGTCTTGAAAGCTTGCCTCTAGGAACTAAATCACACAACAGCATTCATTTAGATGGCCTTATGGTACATGTTAATGTATGTTGTGTAAATGCTGCCCATACATTGTGAAAATGCCACCATGCAACAAATGCAAAAACATACAGTGCCTTGCAAAAGTATTAACCTACCTTTTTTTTTTGCTTCACAACTTCAAATTAAAATATACTTTTGGGGGCTTTCTACAATGTGATGTACACAGCATGCCTACAACTTTAGGGAGGTGCAAAATATTATTTATTGTGACACAAGGAAAAAAAAAAAAAAAAACAAAAACCCTTGAGCGAGCTTACATAAGTTATTCAATATTTCAAAGGTCAGTATGTTTAACAGCCTCCATTTGGTGCAATTTCAGCTTCATGTCTCTTGGGAACAGTATGCCTCTATTACCTTAGCACATTTAGCTACTGAGATTTTTGTCCATTCTTCAGGGCAAAACAGCTCCAGCTACTTCAAGTTATGTAAGTGGCGTTGGTGTTTTGTGTACAAAAAACACCAAGTTCTTCATGGATTCTCAGCTGGATTGAGGGGCTTTTGATTAGGCCATTCCAATACTTTTTAAAGTTCACTTTTAAACCACACCAGTGTAGCTTTAGCAGTATGTTTAAGACCATTGTCCTGCTGCAAGGTGAACCTCTGTAACATTCTCAAACTTTGGCAAACTAAAAGTAGTTTTCTTTACAAATTATCCTATATTTAGTGCTATCCATCTTTCATTTAATCCTGGCCAGTTTTCCAGTTCATGCTAAGGAAAATTATTTTTTTTTTTAAACACTGATATGGAATGCAGTAGCATGAACTACCGTGACTGAAAACCATTGATATTACTATGCATGCATTCAGGATATGTTTAAAGAGCATCCAATGAGCACAAGCATATAAGTTTTATTTCAGAGGATAAATATTAACATACACACGCAAGATAGTTTTTTTTATCTGAATTGTTTGTACCACAATTAAAAAAAAAAAATATTTACACATGGTACAAAGCCCCCCAAAATCATTTTAATTAAGTGTTCTTGCAAGAACACTTATTGTTATCTCACAAATATATTCTTATTATTATAGCAAACTTTGCCACGCTAACTCCTCCCACAGTTTTTACACTGCAAAAGACAAGTAATATATCAAAACGTGCGGATTGTTCCCGATTGGATTGCAATTACTTTGTGGAACGTTTTGCCGAATGGTTCACGAAATATTGCGGTTTTTGTGGTGAAATTTTCCTATAGGAATGAATGGAGTAACTAAAGTGGGAGCTGACAAAGCTAAAGTGTGGAAGGAAAAATCAGGACATGATTTCTAAACTGCCATCACTCCCTCATTTTCAAGCCCATCTACACATATCTTATATCGTTCAGCTATCCCTGCTGTCACTAAAAATGTTCATGGCTAAGCCATAGTCCTGATAGTTTTCACAATATGACCATTTGTTTGCAACTCACTCCACCCATGACTTTCATTGAATCTTCACTCTAGACACCTGAAATTTCATGGGCCATTTTTAAACTGTGACTGTGCCTTCATTGTTAATATTTCAGAGACATACTATGCATCAAAATGTAGGTCTGGGTCTTGTGATTCTCACAATATAAAGCTCTTTGCTGTAGAATTTATACTTTTAAAACTACAACTGTTTGAAGATGGCAACTGCCAGTGAAGTGAGCAAGTTGGAGCAGTTTGTTTATAAAAGCCCCTCTCAGCTTGCTCTGACTGAGTGAGTTGCCATAGCAACCGAAGGCGAGTCACCAGGAAGCAGAGTGACCAAAGCTACAGTGTGAGCTGCAAAATAAAAGTTCAAATGCATTTCTTCAAGCTTGCCATCTGCACTGTTTACATTTCATCAATCACTTGGTTAGGGTTGGATGCAAGAACACTTCACACAATTTCCCCAGAAATTGTACCTTTTCTAGTTTCAGGTTGTAATGCAAAAAAAAGGGGGAAAAAAAAGCAAGGGGGTAAACAATGTCACAATGCGCTGTACGCGACTGTACATGTGCAGCACACCGAATGTACAATGTAGCATGCTTTAATGTGCTGTACTCTATAAAATGTGTTGGGATGGGGTTACCAATTAACATCACAATGCACAGCACAGAGCAGGTTTGTTACCATGCATTGGAGAAAGGTGCACGTTGCCAGGAGGCACAATTCTGAATAAGCCTGTAAATTTGATTCAAAGTTTATTGTTACCCTCCTGACAAATAAGGCACAATACTTTGCAGGTGAATGCAGAAACTATCATACACACCTTGGGCTGTCGAAGGTCACCTCTCTCCTTGCAATCCTGCCAAAACTAGAGGGAGAGGAAAAAAAAAAAAAAAAAAAAACAACTCAGTTTGACTCAGAAATATATTCGTGTGGAATTTTAATTAAACTGAAAAGCACCATCTTGTTTCTGGCCCCACATTTCACTTACATTATCACCTTCTGGTTAGATCTGCTATCATATTACAACCAAAACTTACATATTTATGGAAACCATGTTTTGACAAATAAAACATGAAATTCACATTTTTGCTGAAAATCCCCATAAGGTAAACAAACCAGTAAACCTACCCGAAAAGCATTGACAAGAGCAATGCAATCACTCCTGCTATTGCCAGCATAACTCAGTTTGCTCCTGTGAATGAAAACCATGAATACTATATTCATGAAAATGGTCCACAAACTGCAACAGTAGTTACAGTGCACTAATGTTACATGTATGACCACAACAGTTATTGCAGTAGAACAGCCAAAACAGACAACTATAGAAATTACCTGTATCCATCAAGGTGCTGTCTGAAGGGCATTGCAAAGAAGTTTCTCAGCGAAAGAGCAGAAGCTTAACAATTTAAAAGGGAAAAAAAAAATCACAATTAACCATTAAAGGTTCAACAACACGAGGGGAAAAAAAAAAGCACAGATTTAGAGTATTTTAACCCCTTTACAACCACGTAACACATACGATGTATGCCCACGATGCGCATATATGTGTTCCTGTGTTTGTGCAGAAAGTCTGCTTTCCAGATTAATGCGATTAACCACTTGCCTACCAGGCACTTATACCCCCTTCCTTACCAGGCCAATTTTCAGCTTTCAGCGCTGCCGCACTTTGATTGACAATTGCGCGGTCATGCAACATTGTACCCATATGAAATTTTGATCATTTTTTTCTCACAAATAGAGCTTTCTTTTGGTGGTATTTAATCGCCACTGGGCGCTTTACTTTTTGCGCTATAAATTAAAAAAAGTGCAAAAAATTTGAAAAAAAAGTTTATTTGTTTCATTTATAAAATTTTTCAAACAGGTATTTTTTCTCCTTCACTGATTTGCGTTGATGAGGCGGCACTGATGGGCACTGATAGGCGGCACTGATGGGCACTGATAGGCGGCACTGATAGGCAGTACTAATGAGGTGGCACGGATAGGCGGCACTGATAGACAGCACTAATTAGGGGTCACGGATAGGCGGCACTGATATGCAGCACTGATAGGCGGCACTGATAGACGGCACTGACTGGCATCACTTCTGGACACTGACTGGCGGCACTGACTGGCACAACCCCTGGGCACTGACTGGTGGCACTGACTGGCAGCACTGCTGGGCTGCACTGGTGGGTGGGCACAGGTGGGTGGCACTGGTGGGCACAGGTGGGTGGGCACAGGTGGGTGGCACTGCTGGGCACATGTAGGTGGCACTTCTGGGCACAGGTAGGTGGCACTGCAGAGTGGCACAGGTGGGTGCACTGCTGGGCACAGGTGGGGGCACTGCTGGGAACGGGTGGGCGGGGCTAGTGGGCGCACTGCTGGGCGGAACTTGCGGGTGTCACTGCTGGGCACCGATCATCAGGGCACTGATCATCAGTGCCCCGATGATCGGTGCTGATCCCCGCTCTGACAACTGCCGGTTCTCGGCAGTACTTTCCTCACGATCTGACAGCGTGAGGAAAGTGCAGCCGAGAACCGGCACTTGCATTTCCCTGTGATCAGCGTGTCATTGGACACCGCTGATCACGTGGTAAAAGGCCGGTGGGATCGGCCTTTCACCACATCACGTGATCAGCTGTGTCCGTAGGACACAGCGATCACGGAGATCGCCGGGTGCGCAGGAGAGCGCGTTCTGGGAGGACGTCATATGACGTCCACTCAGAACTGGCCGGCCGTGGTGAAGCCGTCATTCGTCTATGCGCGGTCGGCAAGAGGTTAATAGACACACCCCACTGCTGTGTCCTCTCTGGAAAGGGGAAAAGATGTACTGTATCTTTTCCACCTTGTTGAGAAGTCTGTACACAAAAAAAATTATATATTTATTTTTTTTTTAAATTATTATTAATAAGAATTAACTAGATCAGGGCTTGATCTAATTTAGTGAGTGTTGGTGCCAGTGTCCACCTGCGTTGAACTACTCCAGGGAGTGTCTCCAAATAGTCCAGCACCTTCTGTCTGTCTGGAGCGGAAGAGAGCAGAGACGGTGAGCACAGATGTGTGGGATGAGCAGAGGAAACTGATAACTGACAAAAGCTGCGGATACAGCAATGCAGACATTTTTGGTTTCTGACCAACTGAGAAAAGCCTGGAAATGGCTATTCTTAAGAGCTGTAATTCCTAAACCCTTCCTCCAATTTGGATGTACATAACCTCAACTCAAAACTGAGAGTGTGCACTTTCAGCCCACATCCATTACAGAACTATATCTTGAAAAGGTTTTAGTAAATACCTTAAAAAAACAAAAATTGTGCCTGTGTCCAAATATATATGGACCTAACTGTACATGTATACATACATACACCAACCCATCGGGTAAAAAAAAAAAACGTTTAACACAATACCATGTTTCTCAGTAAATTTAATACATACAAAGAAACCAAAACAAATATGTTATAATTATGTGTAATAAAATGGAATGACAGGGAAAAAGTATTGAACACACTAACTGGAATTTAATACTTGGTACAAAATCCTTTGTTAGTAATGACAGCTTCAAGACATCTCTTGTATGGAGAAACTAGTTGCATGCATTGCTCAGGTGTAATTTTGGCCCATTCTTCCACATAGTCATCAAATCTGATCTTTTTTTTTTTTTTTTTACACAGATTTTCTATTGGATTCAAGTCAGGCGATTTCTAGCAGCTTTATTTTCTCTTTGTTTGAAACCAATTGAGAGTTTCCTTGGCTTTGCGCTTCGGATTATTGCCTTGCTGAAATGTTCACCCTCATTTCAATTTACTCATCCTGGTAGATGGCAGCAGATTTTTATAAAGAAGATTTTGCTACATTTTTCCATTCATCCTCCTTCAATGAGAAGTTTGCCAGTACTGTATGCTGAAAAAAAGGCCCCACGCCATAATGTTCTCACCTCCAAACTTCACTGTTGGTATGATGTGCCATTTGACCTCCAAACATGGTGTATATTCTGACATCCAAAAAGTTCTATTTTGGCCTCATCTGACCAGACTATTCTCCCAGTATTTCACAGGCTTGTCTAAATGTAATGTTGTACAGCAAACTTTACACAAGCTTCAACATGCTTATTCTGGGGGGGGGGCAGAAACCAAATTGGTAACTTGGATTCTACCCAGTGTGTTGGTCAGTTGGGCTTCGAGATTCCAATCCATGTAATGAAACGGTGTCAAGTGAGAGGCGAGTTCAGCTGGTGCAAAAAGAATGCTCTATGAAGAGTCTCCATCTTGCAAAGAATCGACGAGTGTACTTGAAATTTTGGACGATGGTGTCTAGCTTTTCCAGGTTAAGGACGTTATTTAGCGCTTGTCTCACCACATTGAGAGGTGAAGGGTTTGGGTGGATCCAGGCCTGCAGAAGGGCCTACGGGCCACCAAAAGGCAAATATGAATCCACTGAGGGAATGCAGAGATGTGTCAAGCTTGTAGGCTCATCATAGCTAGAGACAGATCATGGGATATTTGGAGACAGTGATGTTATAAAGATGAGTGATATAATGTAGAATTTGGTCCCAAAAGGAAGAGACTCAGTTACATTCCCAAAGGCGATGGAATAGGGTCAGCAGGTTTTGGTCACACTAGGGGTATGTTGGGTGAGCACGGACCACTGAGCTCGTAGAAAAGGAGAGGAAGCACGGGGAATAATCTTAAATAGAGTTTCGTGCCATGTTTCACAAAGCACCAATGAACCAATTTTCCAGTATCCCATTAAGAGTTTTTTTTGGAGTGTTGTCCTTACAAAGTATGGGAGTCCATGGTTTGAATAGAGTAAGATGGTATTTTGTGGATTGGTGAGTGATAAATGAGAGTAGATGTTTGAGATGGAGTAATGATCTTGACGAATCAATACCCTCTATGAAGAAGCTTTTGAAGGGATTCTGTTGAAGGGAGTAGCATGACCAGAGATAATTCACAAGCTGATGGTGGTGGAAGATGTGGGATCCAGGGAGGGAATGTTGAGTAGCAAGTTCTGAGAAAGGTTTAAAGGATCTTTGGGTACAAAGACTGACTTGACTAATTAGTCCATTGAATGACCAGTGGGAAAAAGCCGTATTTGCGCACTAGAGGGAGGAAACATAGGGTTTCCAAGTATGGGCAAGTAGTGTGATATACTCAGTGATAGTCCTAGTAGTTTCTGTATTTCCCTTCAAGCCAAAATGATGTCTCTAATCATTAAGTTGGATCGAAGAGAGAGGGAGAGATTTAAGTTTTGAATGTAAAATGTCTGAGAGATGAAGCGGAGACACCAGGGCTTTTTCTTAAAGAGTAGTTAGAGTAGCATGATTTCATGGAGAGCCAGTTGAGATGCTGATGGAGGAGACCAGACAGATTGTAGAATCTAATATTAGACAAACCTGCTTCACCCTCACTCTTGGGGAGACAAAACTTTATTGCAATGCGTGTTTTTTTTTTTTTTTTTTTTGCGTTGCCATAGGAAGGCCTGTAGGGCTGGATGTACAGTGAAGGAAATAAGTATTTGATCCCCTGCTTATTTTGAATGTCTGCCCACTCACAAAGAAATGATCAGTCTAAAAATCAAATGGTATATGTATTGTAACACTGAGAGACAGAATAGCAACAAAAAGTTCAAAAGAATGTGCATGTCTAACAAATTATGCAGGGATTTGCTAATTGTTAATGAGGTTAATAAGTATTTGATCCCTTTCACAAACATGACTTAGTATTTGGTGGCAAATCCCTTGTTGGCAATCACAGAGGTCAGACGTTTCCTGAAGTTGGCCACCAGGTTTGCACACATCTCAGGAGGAATGTTGGCTCACTCCTCTTGGCAGATCCTCTCCAAGTCATTAAGGTTTGGTGGCAAACGTTTAGCAACTTGAACTTTCAGCTCCCTCCACAGATTTTCAATCAGATTAAGGTCTGGAAACTGGCTAGGCCACTCCAAGACCGTAATGTGCTTCCTCTTGAGCCACTCCTTTGGTGCCTTGGCCATGTGTTTTGGGTCATTGTCATGCTGGAACACCCATCCACAACGCATTTTCAATGCCCTGGCTGAGGGAAGAAAGTTTTCACCCAAGATTTGACGGTATATTGCCCAGTCCATCGTCCCTTTGATGCGGTGCAGTTGTCCTGTCCACTTACCAGAAAATCACCCCAAAGCAGAATGCTTCCAAGCTTCCAACTTCTGTACAATATTATTTAGGGAAGGGTAAATAAGGTAGTAAAGGAACATTGGTTCTCTGCCTATGTGTATGCCTAAATAGGTAATAGAGTGTTTAGCTATACAGAAAAGAGAAGATGCCAGCCAGTGAACCAAAGCAGTAGGTTCAAAGGCAGTACTTCACTCTTGTCAAAACTGATTTGCTGGGCTGAGCAAATGTGGAAGGCCGCAAACAGGTTTTGAAGTAGTTCAAAATCCGAGGGTGGATCTGAAGAGAACAATAGTGTATCATGAGCAAATAGAGATGAACAAAAAGTAAAACCGCCAATGACACTACTAACCGCCACTTTGGAGTTAAATAGCTTAGATAAGGGTTCTAAAGCAATGCTAAAAAGAAGGGGGGAAAGTGGGCATCCTTGTCTTGTACTGTTAGTTAGAGGAATGTCTGAGGACATGAAGTCAGGTGTGACCATTCTAGCCGTGGTCTAGCCAAGAATGGGACTCAAAATACCAACCTTCTGCATGACCATAGAGACCCAGGCGAAGTTAATGTAAAAAGATGCAATCACTGAGGCACTCAAAGCGTAACCAAATCTTGTGCGATTTTGTAAATTTAAAGATGAGTGTTATGACAGGTGTTCTTTAAAAAAAAAAAAAAAAAAAAAAAGGCAAAAGCGTGGGAAGCCCAAACTGAGCATAGAACATAAAGCGAGTTACCGCCAGCAAAAAACATCAAAATGTTCAGAAGATCAGGGACAAAAGCAAATGGGGAGAAAGAGCAATTCTGACTTGCCTGTCAATTACATACCTTCGAGTACAGGACAGAGGCAACTTATTCATACACCATGGATTATAGCTTCGCATCTTCGGCTGACTGGACACTAGGAAGTTAGAGGCCTTTAGAAAAAAAATGGATATAGCAAAACCTCTCTCTTTAAGGGTGCTGGGAGTGAAAATACGGTCAAGACCTGTTACAGAACCAGAACAAGGGGTATAGAGTAATCTCTAGGACTGAATTGCCTGTGCTCACACCATGTGAAGTAAAATATCAAGGTACACTAAATATTCTTGCATGTGAGAGTATTTGCATGCAGGAAGGTAGGAATGACCGATGAAGAGACCCCACTAACTTTAGGGCATGGGTTTCAACAGCCAATACCTTAAAGAGACTGAAGCAGGATGGAAATTGATCCTT